TCGATGCAAGAATGGTCAAAATTGATTCGAATTTTTCGGCTACATCGGGCACCTCCATCAAATCACTACGTCGCAATCTGCAGACGTAACCCATAGGGTTATCGAGATACGCTATTGTCATCATAAGGCCTATTATAAAAAATTAAGATATTAGTTAACGATGGACACTTTGATGGAAATCAAGATCAGTCATATACCTCCATGGATAATTCCTACGGTGTATTTTTCTGCGTGCTTCTTCGTTCCAAGCTATTTTCTCCATTAAGTTAAATAGCATGTCTTTAAGTGTTTTTGGAAGTTTCAGCCCTCCTTCTCTAAGATATTTCGTTCCATATTGGTCTAACCAACTATACCCGCCTCCCCCGCCCCAAATTCATTCCTACTACCATTTCCGACAGTCCTGAGGATCCAGTCTCCTCTACGACCTGTTTTTCGACGGTCCCCTAATTTCCTTTTCGTCTTTTTATTTTTTCGAGTGGCTGTCGATATACTCGTGCTTTCACCTCTTGATTATTAAAAGAAGATACTCTTAGAAAAAAAGAATGAAAAATACCTGACAACAGATATGGTCTTTATATTTTCGAATGCGTGATCAAAGACAATACACCATACGTGACAATTAAACCAGTTTTCTAGATTTGCCTCCGTGATTTTTCCACTCTCAATTTCTCTAATTCTATAAGTAATTTCAGTCAATTCACTGTTGACATCACACAAGATGGTCGCAAGTATAAACTGTAACTTACAATGCATATAAAGCCAGGCATATGTAGTCCATATCGTGATGCTTTTCACAATCATAATCAATACCGAAACTTGATTCCTTTATTAGTTGTCGTATTTCCTTTAAGTTAGTCTACAGCAAAATAGAAAGAATTCGATGACTTACTGCATTACGCATATGTTTGCCAGCAACATGGAAATGAAATATTTATTACCTTTCCAATAAATTTACCTAGAAAATCATTAACTTCATCTGAGAGTTCGGGAACTTCTGGGATAGGTGTGAGCTCTATCTCACGAAGTTCTGCCTC